ACCGGTGCCAGTTTCATCGGTTCTTTAATTCACGCACACTGTTCCAGCATGCCAAACTGAGCCTCATCTATAACTACAGTATCAATGATAATAATAAACAGCTTTTTAAAAAAAAAAAAAAAAAAAAAACCCCCCCCCCCCCCCCCCCAAAGATCAGCCCTACTTTAATTTTGATGAAATTTTGAATTTTGAATTTAATTTTTTTTTTTTAGTGTGTGGCTTAATATAGGAAAACCACAATCAACAGTTGTATGGGATACATTTAGCTTTCATTACCTGGATTCCCGGCTGTTCCCAGAAAAGAGGAATGGACCCACGGATCTGTATGAAGGATGAGACTTTGTCATCCAGGAAAATAACCTGTTCAAAACAAGATTAAAAATTTGGTTTAGTGTATAATGTAACATTTTATGAAAAGAAATTAAATCCTAAAATAAGTAAGATGGGAAAAAAACTAAACAAAAAACACACATTGTATAAAACATCCATCTGCATAGGTGTATACTCGCATGTGGTTTGTAGCTGAATGTTCAGGAAGCAAACGTAATGTAAAGCAGAAATCATAAAACAGACTATGTGTCGTTAGAGGCCATGAGCACAACCTGTCAACACATGTTTGATCCTCAGCTTTTTACTGTGTCATTTTTTATGGCAAGTATAAGGTTCCAAAAACTTTAACAGATTTCACCTGCTCCGTTTCCACAAAGTTGGCCACTTGTCCATCATCATTTGTTCCTCGGACATTGAACCGCGTGCCGGCACGCTCTGAGCTTAAGCGTGAGAAGATGCATGCCTTGGCTTGTTTGTGCCCTGCATAGATGGTCCTGATCTCCACACCCCCACACATCAGCCTCAGCAGCCAGTCGTCACAGTTTACACCGTAATGTTTTAGGTGCAGATGCAGAGATTGATTCCTAGTGATTCACAAAGTCAGATGTAACCGTAAACACAGAGACCAGTTTTGCAAATCACAAAAATTCCCCATATCACAAAATGAGAAAAACCATAAATTATAGCATATCTATAATATTGGAACAGTACTGCTTTTAAGTTCCTACCAAAAGAAGCGGTTATCTGTAGTGTCTTCTATGATTCTGCGATGTGCATTAAGACTCAAGTCCATGCTGACTCCAGTGGAAGACCAGGCAAAGTAGAAATGTCCTGAGTTTAGGACCTTTCGCACCTCAGCAATTCGTTCCTCATCTCCTGGATCATTCTTCAGTGATATAAAGTCTGTCTGCGTGACCCTGAAAACTTCTGAATCCTGCACCTTTCCCACGGAGCTGCAGCCTGTCACAACCACAAGACTGTGGAGCATGGAGTCACCTGTGAAAAAATGTGAATATAATTTTTTTTTTTTTTTTTTACCATATCTAGTGCACACTTATTTCCAGTTTTCATATTGTTTTTTTTAAATTCTTTGACACTACTAGGATATCTTTCCAAGTTCAAAATAATTCTTAAAGGGACAAATTCCCTTTAAGCCAACTATCATTTGATAGGCTTGCAAACAAACAGACTGAACAGCAGGTGGGTGGGGCTGCTATGCTCACAGCCAGAGTTGTGTGCCTGATATCACAATATGAAGGATATTCTCTCTGACATCATGAAGATGCAAGAGTAGAAAAAAAAATCCTGGATATCAAATGTTTAGAACTTGATAATCTGACCTCACTGTTTAAAACACAATTTTAATATCAGCAACCACAACTGTAACATTATATATATGACAGAAAAAAAGTATTTTACATCCACTATAAAGAAAAGAAGGAGAAGAAGCAGTGCTGGAGTGTTAAGAAAGGAAATACAGAAACATTACAAAATTAAATTCTGGACAAAAAATGGTTAAAATCGCAAGCCACTCAAATCACAGCTTTAATCGTTTACAGAGCTTTTTTATTGTTGTGATAACAAGAGCCTTGAAGGGCACATGGAGGACATGAGAAAGCAGCTTAGAAGAAAGCAGCAATGGTGACAAAAATCAGAGCAAGTTCACAGTCAATCAGGAATGGACCCATCTAGGAGCAACAAGCAAAACACATTCTCTCGTCTTACCAAGGTTTAGGCGAAGAACACCCAGAATTCCATAGGCATCTACTATCTTGGTATATGTGTTTTTAATAGCATCCTTCTCTGCTGCCGCTAGAAGACAAACAATGGCAACAAAATTTAAGGAAAATATTGCACCACCTTCCTTTGAAAATCATAGCAATATATCACATCCACCACTACACAATAGGGGACAAGAATCCTTACACAGAACAGCAACAGCTGCTGATTCAAACATGAGGCATTCCTCCCTGGCCCTAGTTTCCACTATGACACTGTAAGGTGGTGGGTCCAGCTTGTGGTAAATACGATATCCCTTGCTGAAGGCCATAATTGATCCAAGCTGGAAAAAAACCCTATGTTATTACCTGGAAAACAAGAGAAATTAAAAAAAGAATGACAATAGATCAGAAAAGAAATATTCTCACATTAAACACCTGCAATTTAATGACGATAAAAGCATCAGAAAGGTGACCTCAAATCTGATCACTTTTTTTTTAAAAGATGTCTGGCTCAAGATCAAAGTTATTACAGTTAGTATAGCTAACAGACTAAACCAAAGGTAAAGACATAAACTTCTCCATAATTTTGCAACACTCTTATTGTGAATTTAACGATTTCGGGGTTTCTTTTATTTATTTTTTTCCAAATTTCTATTTAAACTCATAATTAGGCAATAATTAAATTCCCTAATCCGGAAAGGGGGTAAACTTGCATTGCGAAATCCGAAGCTTAACGTGAGATCAAGTGCAGATGCAGCTCAGGCCCACGCCTATAATTAACTAATATAAAAAATGAGTACTGCAGGTAACTCAAGATTGCGAGTATCAGGAGCACTGCGACTGATAACGGTACTTGACAGTTAGGCCGGGGGGGCTTAAATACCATCCATTGGACAGTCACGACTCCGTAATTCAACGGCAGAACAAACGCTAACGTTCACCATCGAGGTAGCTCAAATGCTAGGTTTTGTGCAATCCTAGACCGACAAGTAAAACGACAGATGACAGTATAAAACGAAAGTAGTAGTAGTAGCTGCCTTTAACCTCTGCAAAGCTAACTGGAAACGCTAGCCAAGTTAGCTGGATGAATCACAGGGATAGCAATGATTCGCTAGCCTACAATATTTTGATGGTGGCACTTATCTGCACGTCCGGGGTGATAAACTGTTACTATTATATACATTTAACAAAGTCGGCCATGTAAAACATTTGCACGCAAACATAATTTACATTTCTGCAATTCTTACTACCGACCGGTTTTTAAAGAAATTATGTAGAAATAACACAATTTATCTGGTCTTACCGTCTCCCCCGCCGGGTTGTAACTCCGCTGTCACAACAAAATCCTTCCCGGTGTGTTGGCAAAATGGTACATTCCGACGCAAACGTCCGCCTACCTCACGTTACCGTCAAGGAAACGTAAAGCGCAAGCCTTAGTACAAGAAAAGCATTGAAGTATGTAAATTAAACGTTTTGCAAGCGTGCAATATTTTAAATTCGTGTTAATATGCAGTTATGAACTACCCGACTTAAAAAAAGAACCCATGAAATGTTTTGAGCAATTCCACCCATGATTGACAGCTGCTTTAATCCAATGAGTCCAACAGAGAACACTGCCGTCCAATCGTGTGTGCCTAGAGGTGGGACGTCGGCATTTCATAACCTCTGACATTTCTGTATAAAACAAGCGCTCCGACCTTCCTCATATAAACAACATTGGCCGGGGGATAAGTAATTGTGATGTATGTGACCCTGACGATTTTTTTAAACAGGTAGGCGTCAAACAGAGGTAGCACTGTCTCGTTTTTCTCAACATGCTAGAGAAGGTTAATGCTCATCTGCTATCTTCCGGTGGGATCTCCTCCAGCTTGTCAAGCAGGAACGTCGTTAGATTGTCTACTATTTCATGTAATTTTTCAGCCTGTCTAGACATGTTGTTTATCGACGTTGTAGTTCAATGTCTCTAAAACAACCAAACAAATAAAGTATGTTTGCTTCCATGTAGATCATTTCTTATTATTTGAATCGACTCTCTGTTACCAGACTCTGCTTTGTTTATTTGTTTGTTTGTTTTTCTGTTTGTTTGTTTTTTGGAGGTGCCTGTTTACTTGTTTTCACGACTGTTAAAGATCCAAAAGTTTCAGCAAAATAAAATGTGCTTAGAAGCTGGGGTTTGATATTCTCATTTGAATTTTTACCACAACAATAGCCATGTATTATGCTGTATTTGATTGTTTTAAATATCTGACAGTGCAGTGTATTGTTAATTTTGTGACCTGTGTTCAGGCTTAAATCTAACTATCAACTGTCTTTCATATCTTCTCACGGGATACTTTTTAGCCCTTAAACATGAAGAGGCTTTTCCTCGTGGAGCCGGTGGTGGCCCTGTATGCTTTTGCCACTTTCCTCTACTATCCGCTTGTGCAACAGTATGCATACAGGAGAATCTGGCTGCAGGTGACAAACACCACCTACCTGAGCTCTGACAACACTTCCAGATGTGTGGCAAACAGCAACAGTAGCAACCAGTCTCACTATAATGAGGTTAGTCTTTAATCACTAAAGGTGTGTTATCCATTCCGGAGATTTGGAGTATCTTATTTTCTTTTTTTTTCCCACCACACTGAAAACTAAAAACATTTTGTATATAGCAAGGATTGTTTAAGAATGAATGCCATGAAAAAAATCAATATTTGGTGCAAACATTCACCTTTAAACCAAGACACAGATTCTTTTAGGTCAACAGCTTTTCATGGTGTTGGGTGGCACGTTGTTTCAATCATCTAAAAAAAAA